TTTTTTCAGCCTTTTTTCCTCAAATGTAAAATGGGAATAATAATAAACCAACCTTAAGGGTTGTTATATATATCAAATGGGATAATAAATGTAAAGCACTATGATAAATTTAAAGGTTTATATAAAATTTAGCTGTTAGTTATTATTAATGAAGTTCCCCTAGATCTTTCATCAAATAAATATCTGTAAAGCTAGGTCTTTCCCACAAATGTGCAATTGGGCATTAAAAATACTAATAAAAACTAAGCAAAACAAAACCCAAGAGGTTTCTCCCAAAAGGAGTAATTGTAAATGTAATATAAAAACAAAATACATCAATACATTTTTTTCAAGATACTGTAGGTTTCATTCCTTATTAAGGCCTTTAATACCAATTAGAAGATCCCATTAATAAAAAATTATTTGGCAATAGCATAGCTTCTCAAAATGGGAGAAAGCCTAATTTCTGCTATTTTTCAAATCAATTACTTATTCATTTCACTTCTCAGTAGGATGATGCTGGCAATAACATTAAGAGAAAGAAATTGAAGGCATAAAGTTAGGCAAAGAGGAGACAAAACTATCCCTATTTGATTATGACATGATAATTTACTTGGAAAGTCCTAGAGAATCATCAAAGAAACAATAAATAGCATTGGCAATGTAGCAGGATACACAGGCCATTCAAAATAACCAAAATGCATTGAATATCTGGGAGTCCATCTACCAAGGTACACTCAAAATCTGAATGAATGAATGAAATGATGAACAAGAGAAAAATAATTATTAACCCACATGGCAAATATTGCGCTAAACACCAGAGAAACAAATACCAATAAAAAATCCCTTTTATCTAAAAGGGTACATACTCTAATGGGGAAAACAGCACAAACAGGTCAAAGATCTTTAGAAAGGAGTGTTTAGGTTTGGGAATAAAATGGGGAGATGGTGAGATTGGGGAGATATGGGTATTGTAACAACAGGGCCAACAAGAGGGCAGCTAACCTGTCCTTTTCAAAAGCAAGAGTAGTATTTGATTTTTTTTTTAAGAGCAAGGGGTTGAAGAGAGATTTACCCTTTCTATACACTTACGTGTAGCAGGGTGAATTATAAGGAGATGGTGAAACATGGCCAGGTTTAGGGCTACCTCAATATATAATGGACTCTCACTAATTACAACAGCAGAGTCCCAGGATGGAAATTGAAAAGCTGAGTGCCCAGATAATAAAAGTGACAATACTAGCTAAATTAACTTACAGATTTAATGCTATACCAAACTACCAAGGGGATACCTTAAAGAGCTGGACAAAATAATTGGAAAATTCATCCGGTGGAACATGAAGGGAAATAATGAAAAAAAGTAGGAATGAAGGACAATAGCTTTTCCAGAACCCAAATTATGATGTAAAGAAGTAATAACAACTATTTCATATGGATTTAAAAATATGAAAGGGAGTCCTAGCAGAACAAACTAGATAAGAACCAGAACAACTAAGACCAACAATACAGAATACAATAAACTCAAAGACATTAATTATTTGAGGAAGAACTTTTTTTTCCCCCACAAAAACTGCTCAGGAAACTAGAGAGCAATTTGATAGAAAATAGGTTTAAGGCAAACACCACAATAAACTTAAAATGAACACATGATCTAATTATTAAAGTTAAAAAGAGAGAACCAGACCCAGTATCTGTCACTCACTAGGTGGGGAATATTTTTTAAAATACTTTTTTGGTGTGTATATGTATATATATGATATTTTTTCAGTCACTTATATTTCTCACTCTCTCCTCCCCCTCCCAGAGAGCCATCATGTATAAAGAAGTATAATGGAAGAAAAAAAAAATCTGCAAAGCTAACAACCCATCCAGAAAGTCTAGCATTATATTTGGTGTCCTATACCTATGAACTCCTGCTTCTATAAAAGATAAGGTGTCTTCTCCTATCTGCTCCCTGGGGTCATGCTTGGTCATTATAGTTCAATAGCATTCAGCTCCTATTGCTTTATTTTTGTTGTTCTTCCCATTTACGTTGTTGTAGTTACGTATATTCTTTTCCTGGCTCTGCTTATTCACTGTGCATTAGTTCATATAAATCTTTCCATGCATCTCTGTATTCATCACGCTCATCATTTGTCATAGCACGCTAATATTCCTTGATATTCATGTACAATTTGTTTAGTCGAGGCCCCAATAAAAGTTTCTTTATACTTTGTTACAGGGAAAGAATGTTTTGTTCTTTTTTTTGGCGAGACAATTACGGTTAAGTGACTTGCCCAGAGTCACACTGCTAGTAAGTGTTGTGTGTCTGAGGGCGAATTTGAACTCAGGTCCTCCTGACTCCAGGGCTGGTGCTCTATCCACTGCGCCACCTACCTGCCCCTAGGGGAAGAATTCTTAACCAAAGCATAGAAGTGATCACAAAATATAAAATAATTTCAATTATACTAAATTGGAAAGCTTTCACATAAACAATTCTTCCAACTAGAATAAGAAAAGAAGCAGTCAACTGGGGAAAATCTTAGCTGCATACGGCATAATTATAATGCTCAAACTTGGCCCTAGAGAAGAGTCATAAGAATGTTACTCCTTCCATTCTTTGCAGAGGAGGGGGACAGATGTTGTTGTTCAGTTGTGTTCAGCTCTTTATGACCCCATTTGGGGTTTTCTTGGCAAAGATGCTAGAGTGGTTCGCCATTTCCTTCTCCAGCTCATTTTATAGATGAGGAACTGAGACAAACAGGGTTAAGTGACTTGCCCAGGGTCACATGGCTAGTAAGTGTCTGAGGCCAGATTTGAACTCAGGAAGACGAGTCCTCCAGACTGCAGACCCAGTACTCTACTCACTGCACCACCATATACAAATATGAAATGTTATATATGTATATGTACATATAAATGTATATAAACCTGGCTGATGTGATGGCTAGTTTTGTTGAACTGTTTTTTTCTCTCCTATTCATTACTAAAACGAATAGCTCTTTAGGTGAAGGGGAGTGATACATTAAGAAATTATAGTGATATAAAAACAAAATATAACAAAAATTTTATAGAGAAAAAACACAAGGAAAAAAAAAAAGAATAGACTTAACTATTAACCTCCGGCAAACATTTGCTAATTAGGGATATTTTCCCAGCACTTAGCAAGGTACATGGCATACTAACTCTGGTAAGGAAAATGTGATAGTTTATTTACAATATTCAAGGCACAGCTAGGTGGCGCAGTGGATAGAACACCTGGCCTGAAGTCAGGAGAACTTGAGTTCAAACTCGGCCTCAGACCAAACACTTGACACTTACTAGCTATGTGACCCTGGGCAAGTCACTTAACCCCAACTGCCTGAAAAAATAAAATAAAATACAACATTCAAATTCTGTTAAACAAATTAGAAAACCTTACCTGTTCTTACCACTTTCTACAAAATAAATGTTGCTTTGAAATTCAGACGTACAACTAAAAATTGTCATTCCATGACCTCGATTAAGATACTGAATATATATAACAAGGATGCTACACTGTAGCCTGAGTGGCAACAAGAGCCTGTATGCACTGGCAAAACCGAGTCTTATGAAACAGTAGCATAAACGTTCAGAAGAGCCTATCTTATAGGAAAACACGGGTCTCTTTAGACCACTGATTTATGTTCTGAGACATTCAGAATTCAAACTGCTATTCACATGACTAGAAGACCCACCAACCAGCTAAAGTAAATGAGTAATAGGTCTTCCTGGGGATTCAGAAGCTCAGCAAAGACAGATCTCAATCCTCAGCCAACTCTCCTTAGGACCAGAAAGTAAAGCTCTGAATTGTACTAACTTGTGAATTTTAAGATTAATCTGCCCAACTAAGGTGCCAAGAAAACAGTTTTGCTAAACTGGAACATAAAGGAATTAAGACTCCTTCCTGACTAGACCATATGAAGCCATTTATTGTTTTGTCATTCTGCTGTTTCCCTTTTGCCTGATAAGAAAAACAAACCCCCTTCCAAAATCCCTCCCTTGCTTGTCATGCCTCTCACGTCCTCCAGATGGTGTCCTAACCCAGACTAAGCAGCACTAGGCAGCATGCTGTTACCCTCACTCTCCCATTCTCAGTCACTAAAACCAGTTTATCAGACCAGATTCGGTGGACAAAATTAGAATATTTCCAAATTAATCCAAAACAGACACATGATTGCCTCAGCATAGGCTGGGGAAATTTAGGAAGAATCGCTAGATTCAGTTATACTAAATGAGCTACTGAAGGGAGTAATAATTTCAAAATTGTTGCATTATTTATTACAAAGTACGTCAAGAATCATTGTCATGCCTTGAAAGATTATTCATTTTAATGCAATTTAGTTTTTCTTTAATTCTGCTACATTCAATTCAATTCAGAGAATGTTCCTTAAATAAAACAGAACATTACACAACACTCTGATGAAAACTGATGATGTTTTCTAATCGCCATGTATCTATGGATATAAAGTAAAAACCCTCATACTCTGTGTGGAACCCTGACAATTTCATCACAACTGAAGTCCAAGTAACATCTACAAGTCTACTGAATTACACAAAGAAAGGAAAGAAAAAGGAAGCCAGAAATATAGTAAGCAAATTTAGTAAGCAAACTAATAATCCCTATGTTAAAAGAACTAAGAGTTCTATCCCATTTTTGCAGCAATTCTGTGCCTACAGCAAAAGCATCTTTCCTGTAGCAAACATTCATCCAATAACTGTTTGATCAATGGATGAACTGCTATTTCTCAAAACTTATAAACACAGGTTAAGTTCTGCATAACTCTTAGAATTAACATAAATTAGTGGTCTAAACTATAATTAACATTATAGGAATGCCATCTCATTTATGCAAAACTTACAAGATACAAAACAAATTTGGAAGTGATTATTATTAAAAAAATTAGAAATATTTTTAATAGCAAGGTTCTCCACTATTTAATGATGTCTTTCAAAAATTGTAAAAAAAACTAGTAATAGACTGAGTCAGAGAAATTCAGAACTTTTTAGTAGCCACTGCCAAATAAGAAGCAATTATTTATTTAATAAACATTTGCCAGGGACCTACTATACACTAGTTGATGTCAAACATAGTCCCAAACTTCAAAGACTCTATAACCCAATAGATGACATGTAGGTACAGGAGCAAACCTATTATGAAAATTAGCAAAACAAACCAACTGAAAAAGAAACTAATTTTCTATAAATTAGATATGCTAATACTTACATAAAGCTCAAATTTATACTCCTGTAGGCATGCTATCTCCTCCAAGTAACTCTGAAATTGTTTTTTTTTCCCCCTCTGGCTAACCCCACCACAAAACATTTTGAAAAATTAGAAGTCCCAAAGAAAATGCTAGCCTTTTAAAAATTTCAATGAAGAGCCACTTTAATGACAAAGCAATTAAACCAGCAGGTTTCTGACATTTACTTTCACTAGATATACTTTCCTATTTAAGATGAACCTTCCCACTGAGGCCTCTATTTTGTAGAACATCTCAAATGGGCCAGTACAATCTTACCAAACCCAATATTTCCATATTTAATCCTTACCAGTAAGGTTATCTCTACCCAAGGAAATATTTTATAAAAGAACTTAGGCATACTGTTGTGGCAACCTTCATCTAACAGCATGTGACTAAAGATTAGAGGTTCTTTAAGCAAAGTAAGGGAGAATGAAGGCGAGTATAAGTCAAATCTTGAACAGAAATATAACAATCTTTAAAATCATCAGTACAATGAAATTTTTATATAACAAAATATGTTTACATTTGACATGTTCAAACAACACATATGGGGGAAAAATTAGTAACCACTCACTTCTGCCAATAACTAAATGAGTAAATGGACAAATCAGGCCCTCTAAGGTCCTTTCTAGATCTAAACAGATCATCTTCTAAATACACTGTGTGATCAAAATCTCCTGAGTAGCGGCTTGATTGACTATCTACTTAAAACAGTACAGAGCTTCCATCTTCTTGTATTTCTCAGTAGTTGATTTGCAAGGGGGAAAGCAGATAGTGTAGCTTACGTTGAAATCAAAAGAAGATGACATTTTCAGACCACTGTTGGTAATAAAAATACTTTACTGGTACCGCACGATGATGAAAACATAGTAACGTTTCCATTTCATAATTTTCATACTTTAAATAAAAAGCTATTCAAATGCAGAAAAGGTACCTAATTCTGGCATACAAAAAGAAACAGTTGCAGCTTACCTTTGCAAATGATTACATTCTTTCATCTTAAATACCATAATACATTGTCTTCACAATAAATAACAGGCAATTTATGTACAATGGAAGTCCAGAATAACTTTCAACAGTATATCTTACTCCATATCTTAAATGCCTAAGTCCAACCTCATTCAAGTAGAGGTAAATTAAACAATGATCAAAACTAAAGTAAAACCTAACAGACCCCACCAATTTAGAATCCGTAACAATTCAAAAATAGTGTGATTCTTACTTAATAAAAGGTTCAAAATATTTCTTCCTTTGAATTTTCACAGTCTTAGTGAAAATAAGGGGAATCCAATCTAAAATCAGTACCTTTTTCAAACAAACAAAATATTTTTAAAGTTAAGCATTACTTTGATATATTTCCAACTTTCAAATAAAACAATTCCTATAAGTTTATGTCATAGCAAATATTTGTGATACATTATAAGGTTTACTTTAAATGTGATTTTAAAATCACTACATTATACCTCATTAGTAATACTCATGTATATCTTCATTTATAATTTATACTTTAATAAAGTGAGTCTTTTAAAATATTTGAGATACTTCAACATGTTACATTATTCATTTTCTATTATTCCAAATTAATGAAGTCTTATTGCATGTAAACTGAGTCATTTCCTGTGAAGTTCTAACCTATCAACCCAAAGACACAAGCAAGTTTCCCCATAAACAGTACCTTTCAACATACATCAGAAAATGGGCGTAATTAAATGGTTGTTTCCCCTGTTATGTATAGCGATAGAAAGATTTTTTTAAAAAGCCTATTCATTTAAATTTACAGTTCTTATAGATTCTGAAATTCACCCATAGGACTGTTTGCTTAGCTTACATAAGCAAATGCTGTTCGTGTATACACCAACTGTCACTTCATACAGAATTATTTACCAACATAATGAAAGATTCTTCTGCGGAGGCAGCAAGTGTGGGGGTAAAAGCACTGGACTGAGAGTGCAGAAAGACTAGTTCCTGGTCCTGTCTTCCACTGTCTAGTTGTGTGTTCTCAAGCAAATTACTTGTTTCCTCAGTTGTATAACAAGGCTACTGAACTACATGATCTCTAAAGTCCCTTTCAACTAACATTCCTTAATGCTACTACTCAAAAATTCTTGATATACTTTATTCTCCTTAATATAAAAATAGTGCAGCCACTTTTTTTTCCTATATGATTACTAACCTTGTAATGTGATGATTAAGAATGTAATGGCACATTAATGTTACATATCTAATCCAGCCACATACTTTTACCTAAAATCAAGTTTTTCAGTAAGTTTCCCATTGCCATACATTTTCTCATAGAGATTTGTGGGCAAAGCAATAAACTGATACAAAGGTATTAAGTTCCAATCTCTGCTACTGTTGTACTTGGCAGAATGACCACGGGTGAGCCAGTTTTCCTCTGCTAATTACTTTGGCTTCTCATTCTCTTAGGAAGACCAATTAAGTACTCAATGACCATAGATCTCATCCAGACACAAAAAGCATGGCCCCTCATTACCATTTAGCAGAAAACAACACGCTGTCTCCTAAATATAAATATGCTACTAATACCATCAGCAGGATGAATTAAACTGATCAAATACAAAGACATAATCAAGTGATGTCTGAAAAGCACAGTACCACAGCTGAGATAGACAGTGTAACAACTCTGGGTGGAAAATATTGGATTCTCATTGAACAAACTGGGCAGTTGTTCTTTGCTGCTGTATTCTCACAAAATCGAGGATTTCAATTAAACACTTGCTTTTTCTTCTCATTTCAGATAATTGAATTGTGTCAAACACAGAAATATCTCACAGATAAAATGTTCTTTGAGAGAGGCACTGCATTTGTAAACTAATTAAGGCAAGTGAATAGTGCTGGTTGTTGTTCATATTATAATGCATTAAAATGACGGTGTAATTTATCCAACAGGTTCACTATTTGTCCTATATGCTTGTTTATGGAGATGAGTTTCTATTTCCTCCCTGAAGACAAGCATTCCAAGGTGGGAGTGAGAAGCCTCATTCATGGCTTTTGACTGTATGCACATGCGATATTGCTCTGGGGTCAGCTCATCAGCACAGTGCTTTTCATGCCACAGGTGAAAAAGACCAGGAACTGGGGTCCGAATAACAATAAGATTACCACGTAAGTATTTTCTATACAGATGAACATCCTCTCCACCCCATCCTTTTACTTCCAAATCAAATCCACCTGCAAAATCAAAATTGATATTATTAGTAAACCATTTTTCTGTTAACTTAACAAAATTATGGTCAACATTATTAAGGTTTAGTTATTTTTCTGTATCAATGTTTATGAAAAAATTTTGATGATGATAGCTGGAGACTTATTTTGACCACTGCCTATCAAAAAAAGGGACCTTAGAAATCATCTAGCCTAACTCATAGGGTAATTTAGCTTCAAAATGCTTAAATGAATTGCCCGATACAGAGCTAACAGAATCTTAACTAAACCTAGATCTCCTTCCATTATACCACCTTCCTAATTCACTATCTTTAATGAAAACCACTAGACACAAGAACTGTAAAACCTTATCGTTCATGCCTCTAAAGCAATAAGCAAGAGAATTTACCTAAAATGCAAACAATTTTGCCACTAAATTTGTGTTACCTACATAGTAATGCTCTTGAGTTCTTTGAATAACAACAATATGAGTTCAATGAAAACATTAATAGTGTTTAAGAACTCATTGTTATAGAATTATCTGAAACTAATTGAGGTACTTTAACAGATTAAAAAGTTTTAAAGATTTAAAGAAACTAACCTCCACATAAATTAAATCCTTGTGATATTTTATAAGCTAATGTCCTTTCACTAAGTGGTAGAGAATTTTTTATCTTTTGACCCTTCCATACAATAACCCTTATATGTCTTCCCCACACTTTCCCTCTCAACCTCAGTATCCTCTTTGAAAACAGAAATTTCTATTTGAATTAAAAAAAAAACACTGTCAAAAACAAGTAGATTTGACATCAAAGTAAATACAGTAAGGGATCAGACATCAGTGGTCACAGAAACTCTATCCTTAAAAATTTAGGAAGATGTTATGGATTAACTGAATATAACTTACCAATAGTCAGAAAATCTGTTCGATATTGACAAGTCATTCCAAAACCAAAATCTCGCCAGAATCCAGAGTCTTTTTTGTGGACCTTTAATAATAAATCTGAGTCATTTTTCATTTTAATCAATAAAATAGCTAGCTGAGTTCTGACTACATAAAAATAAGTGAAAAGCAAATCAAATACAACATTCCAAATGTAACTATTCTCTATCTTGAACAAAAGTTAGACATTTACATAATCTGTACAAAATTATGAGCATTTAAACATATTTTGAAACTTTTGTTAACAATTCACATTGTCTGTGATTTACAAATTCTTGCCACTTTAAAGAAATTAATAGAAAAGCTGAGACTAGAACTCAATATCTTAAATTCAGAGTAGTAATATCTAAAGCCAAAGTCCAACCAAAGAAATTTATATTTTAAAAACTAAATATATCACTTCTAGCATTTAAGCAATACTTTGATATAACCACAAATATCTCAGACTCAGACTCCATAAATGCTGAATAGATTTTACTTAAAATTTGATTTTTTGTTCATTATTCAAAACTTACTTGATTTGGCAAAAAACATATTTTAGACTGGCAAAATAAATTTCAAGACATTTAATAATATGAAAAACTGCATTTATATAGGATTTGTTTCAGATTAATGTCAACTTTTTCTGATCAGATTTAAAAACAAAGAGATTACCAATAATTCTAGAAAACAAGAAAATATTTTTAAACCTACTATAACATAACTGAACAACACTTACTAATTGCTGATCAACTGGTGGTGGCACATCTTGATTGGCATAAACAATAGCAGGATTATAAAGACTGAACACCACTGGATAAAAAACTTTCTTTCCTGTGAATAAAAAAGAAACTATATTATAAGAATCAAAGAAGTTTCAGAAGGAAAAAATCTTAATGAATATTCTTTCCAGCATCACACCGATTAATTCTATCAGAACATCACAGCCTTCAGAAATAGCCTGGCAAAACATCCAAGGCAATGGCAGGCTGAGGGATACCCCAGACACTCAGGCTAGTTTTCTAAAATTGTCAGACAAAATGAGTGCTGTTAATGCATTCTTTAAAAACAAATGACTAAAAAGGCATCTACGTTAGTAAAGGCAGTAAATTAAAAAAAAAACTTTGCAAGCTGGACTACTGTTTGCAGGACAAATAACAGTATCACAAAGTAAGAACTATCATTAGACTAATATAGCCCTAATAGAAACCAGAAGGTGGGAAAGAAGGGCATCTGAAATGTTCATCTCTACAGGAATTTCACAGTATGTCATGTATTCTTTGGACATTAAATGGCTTTTTCAGGACTTGAGATGATAGCACAAAAGGCATTTAAATTGTATAGATATATATCTTGGTAAGAAAACTCAATATAAAAAATGTAAATTATCTTACACTTGCATAGTGCTTCATAGTCATCAAAGCAGCTTCTAATATATTCTATCATTTGAACTTCACAACAACCTGTGAGGTAGACATCTGCTTGGCAGATGAAAAAACAGAAGCCCAGAAATGATAATATTCATGGAAAATCTTAAGACTAGTAAGTGGCAAAATGTGATCCTACATACATATCTCCCCCATTACCTTCCACATTTTGTTCCAAAGAACTGTAATCAAATTCACATGAATTGAAAAAGATTTCTTTAACAAAAAACAACAACAACAACAACAACAACATTGTCCACTGGCTACTTTACTATTCCACTCAAAATTCCTACGACTTCTGAGACCAAAACATCTTTTTTTAAGAAAATCATTATCTATGCCCCAGTCCCTTACTGTGCTGTAACCCATGACTCTCCTCAGCCTTCTTTTTCTCTCCTCTGTCTCTTACCTTCTCTCTCAGCTATCTCGGTAGCTGTCACAGCTTGTTATTATCTCTATGCAGACAACTGTATATCCAGTTCAGTTTCTTTCTCTCGCTCCAATCCTATGTTAATGACTGCCTCTCAAATGTTTCACAATGGATGCTCAGTAGACATCTCCAATTTACTATGCCTGAAACAGAACTTACCTTTCCATGAAAATGCTTTCCTCTTCCTAACCTGTTTCTGTTGAGGACACCAGTATCTTTAGTCACCTAAGTTTTATAGCCCCAAAGTAATCTCCCACATCCCCCAGATCCAACCAGTTGCCCAATATTCACATTCATCCTATTCTCTACATTCACATGACCACCATCTTACTTCAGGCCTTTACCACCTTTCACTCAGAATATTGAAACAGCCATCTAATTGTTCTCCTTCCTCAAGTCTCTTTTCACTAGGATCTACCCTTCAAAGGGATATTCCTAAATCTCAAGTTTGACCATATAACTCCACACTCAAAAAGCTCCAGGGATCCCTAACACCACAAAAATTAAATACAGACTTCACAACATCTCACTTCAAGCCCTTCCCTCTCTGGTTATAGCCTATGGGTCTAATGGATACAAGGCTGGACCTGGAGTCAGGATGACATGGATTCCAATTCTGCCTTAAACACATACTGGCTGTACGAATCTGGGTGAGTCAATGAACCACAGCTTCAGTTTTCATCTCTACAGAACAGAGAAGAAAAAGACTCAATAGCCTAAATCTGTTACCCTCTGATCCTATCTTCCCAGGCTTATACATTATTCTTCTTCAAATACGCTATGGCTCAGTTAACCTAGTATTATTCCTGGCACACAACACTCCAGCTCCCGTCTCTGTGTCTTCACATAAACTGTCAGTCCCTCATGCCTGAAATGTACTCCCTCCATGCTGCCTCTGGGAATTCCTAGCCTCCCCAAATAACTCTGTACGTGTTGCAGATATACTGGATATTTATGCAATAGGATACGTGTTGCTTCTGCTGACAGAATGAAAGTGCCCAAAGGACAGGGTCAGTTTGATTTCTAGCTTTGTATCTGTGACACCTAACACAGCACCTGGCACATAATAGATGCTAAATGAACGCATGCTGATCACCTGGGTCTGGAGTTTGGCAAACCCCAAATGTGGTCCTTGTGCCAGGAAGGCAGGTGACACGGTGCACAGAGGGCTGGGTCTGGAGTTTGGCAAACCCCGAATGTGGTACTTGTGCCAGGAAGGCAGGTGACACAGTACACAGAGAGCTGGGTCTGGAGTCAGGAAGAGCTGAGCTAAAATCTGGTCTGACACCTCCCAGCAGTGTGACCCTAGGCATGGCGCCTAACCTTTGGCTGTCTCGGGTTTCTCAGCTGTAACATGGTGATGATAACAACTCCTGTCTCTCAGCGTTATTTTGACCATCAAATGAGGCCATATTTATAAAGCACTTAGAACAGTGTCTGGCACATACAGATACTATATTAACTCTTGCTATTACAATTATTATTTTAGTGCCCTTCCTCTGAGACTCCCTCCAATGTACATCTTATTGACACACAGTTGTTTCATGTGGTCTCTCTCATTAGATTGTGAGTTCCTTAAGGACAGAGACTGTTTTTTGCTCTTCTTTGTACCTCTACCTCAGGCACAGTGCCTGACACATAGTAGATATTTAAGTATTAGATCACTATATTCTAATTAAGAGAACCATGAGACCATACAACTACTATGTATCCTCTTGTTCTCTACATACATTCCTTGTGGCTGATCAAACCAATATGAGCTTGGAACATATGAACATTTGAAGTGGACATGGCTCTAAATTTCACATCTCACATTTCTTTTGAGCTACTGCAATTTTGCTTTGCTCACAGAGCACAGCACCTTCCTTGACCTCAACATAGTGATGTCATTTTGGTCCTCTTCAAGAACAAAGGGCAAAAACCAGCCAACCAATTAGCCAATTATCCTTATAACAAAGATTTTTTTCCTGTTTGTTGGATGGCTTGGCTTCAGGTTTTAGCTTTGGGGATATGCTGTAGATTTTCAATTACCTCACATTTCTGTTTTTCTAGTTGTCCTACATATTTCACTTCAGTAGTTCAAGGATCTATAATTTGATTGTAAACTGCATATATAAGTGAAAATACAGCAATAAATTTCTCCATATAAAAACAAAACATGTAGATACTCTGAAATTTCAAATTAAATTTACTAAGATTTTACATACCTGGTTCAGCATTTAATCGGCAACTGTTAAGAAACTCTGCTGAGAAATATATATCAACATCACAGAAAAACATCAAGACCTCTCCCTTGTCCCAGGCTCTGGCACCCACATCTAGTCCTCGGCCTCGATTAAATTCTTCACTCAATGAAATCAATGTATAATTGTGAAAATTAGCTTCACTAAGAGAAAAACAGACACAAAAAACTGATGTAATTCTAAAAAAATATACATTTGAAATATGTATATACGTGTGTGTGTACGTATGTATTTAAAACAACAGTGATGTGGTAATGAAAAACAAGTAGATAGTAAAAGAGTACCTAGTTTCCCCCAAATGAGTTCAAGTCACCTGCATCTTTGACAAATCATATCCCAGAGGTCTGAAGGGATATTACTAATTTCATTTACATCAATACTCATTGAACACCAATTACATGATAGGCATTGTAAGATATACAAAGAAGTTCCTGAACTTAATATAAAAATGGCTTAATATAAAATTGGGGAAATAAGGTTTGCAAACATAAAAAAAAGTTAAGTAATAAAAATAATGGCAAATAAGTGGTAAAGGGTGACTATGTTATAAGAGTTCAGAGAAAGAAGAGATAATTTGGAAGAAGAGTGACATAGTAAGAGTTTGAAGCTCAAAGAGGGGAAATTTAAGTGGTACTGAAAGGGTTCGATTTGATTTTAATAGTCAGAAAGTGAATACTTTCCCAAAAGGGACATTCGGGAAAGGGACAAAGATGCTTTCAAAGTGTATTCTAAAGCACTGAGTAGACCAGTCTGGTTAGTGCAACAAGTTCTTATAGGGCAAAGGTTCATGATCTGGGATACACAGACTGTGAAGCAGATCCATGAACCTGAATGGGGGAAAAAATTACATCTTTATTTTCACTGATCTCCAACCATAATTTTTCATTTCCTTTATTTATAATGTACGCAACCAACAATATTCTGAGAAGTGGTCCCCTAGGTTTCACCAGACTGCCAAAAGGGTCTGTGATACACAAAATTTAGGAACTGCTAGGAGAAGAGTGAAAAATATGAACTAGAAAGGCAGATTAAGGTCAACCTGGCTAGCCATGAATATAAGCAACCCTGTGGGCAACTGAAAACCACTGAAGTTCTGAGCACTGCAATCATATGATCGAATGGTCAAGTGGTGTTTCAGGATGACTGATCTGGCAGGAATGTGGAGGAAGGGAGAGAGAAGTTAGGAAGCTAAGGCAACTGTCCAAGCATGGTGAAAGAAGGGCCTGAATCAGAGCAGTGGCAGTGGAGATGGAAAGTGAAGTGCTGAAAAAGAAGTCAAAGAAGACTAATGTTCACTCCTGGAAGAAATAAGAGAATTAGATGAAGGAGAAAAGCTGGTTAAAGAAGCTTCTGTAGAGCTGTGGAGAAGGAAGACAAGTTCAGTTTTAAACAGGTTGACTTTCAAGTGCCAATGGGAAATGCAGGTGAAAATGCTGAGTAGCTATTTGGAAATAAGAAGACCAGAGGCAGGAAAGAAATCTGACATGGCAATGAACAAATGGAGAGTTCACAGAGATGAGATGAGATCGCTAAGAGAAAAGAAGTATTTGGCTGACATTGTGCACCATCACATTTAGGAGATGGGAGGAAGAACCACCAAAGAGGACAGAATAGGCCATCAGAAAGAAAAGAGAACTAGAAGAGTATACTGTGATGAGAGGCAGAGGAGGGTGGAGAGTTTCAAAGCACTTCTAGTTTCTCTATCAAAGAGAATTTCTCTTATCTTCAGATTTGGACAGATACAACAAAAATAGATACAAGGGAACTGAAAACCCAGGTAAGTAAAAAGAAAAAGACACATAAGAAAATCATAGGAAAAAAATATGATTTCAACAGGCACTATTGCTTAGACTGCAGGAAAAAAGAAAACACAGATGGCAATTCAAAAATAAGCAAACTTTCATATATGAGCATCTTTATTTACTGACTTGCTTACCGAGAAACTGATTCTAAGATGATCTTGACTTTAGATAGTCCTTCTTCACCAAAATATACCACTGTAAGGTGAATTCTCTTGTCCTGAAGAATACATACATCCCTAAAATAAAATCAGAGTAGAAAAAAAATCACATTTTCATCAAGAAAATGAACTGGGCTTCAAATGATGGGACTAAAACAAACTTGGTTTTCGAGGTAAGAGATTTTAATGTATGCAAGAATTATTACAGCACCAGTTATACTATTACTCAAATACCATAAATAGATGTAACTGTGAATTCAAGTCACTCTGACAAAGTAGGAAAAAAAAGGTAGAATATGAAGATTTCTTGTAAGACAGTTATATGGATTCCTTAAAATCTTAACACAGTTACCTGAAGTTCTGCATAAACTGTGCAAATGCCTCAGTCCTTCCAGCAAGAGGTACAATGATATTAATAACTGATTTGGTAATGTCAATTGTTTCACTCTTTACTTTCATAAGAGGTCCAAAGGGTCGGAACAAAGTGACATGTCTGTATTCCATAAGGTCTGCCTTCTTAAAAAAGAGTTCATACTGTGTCCCTTTATCTCTCTCAGTACGATAATAACCTAAGAAATAAAAGATAGAGAAAAGCATAACCATGTCAAATTTAAAGATTTAATGGTAGCATTTAATTTGAATTTTCAAACAATAAATAGATCTGAAGAACTTTTTTTCTCTAAATCTGAAAATACATTAAAATTTACTAAAGTCAGTAATTAACAAGATTATAATCTGTCTCAATATATATTTTCTATAAAAGAAAATACATTGAATAAAAACTATTATATGATATATAAAATGCATTCCAAATTAATTACCAATGACCAGTATTTAGATAGTATTTGTGTTAATGAAGATTAAAACCAATCTATTGCTAGCAAACATAAAGTCCAAAAAATAATAAAGAATTTAAACTCATGAGTCAAATGAATAAGAATTCTTCTTATACATTATGTAAATTAGAGACAAGACTACTTTAATGTTGACAATATGACAAATCCTGTTTCAAAACAGGTAAAGCAGTTTATCTCATTAATCCTTATAGCATTCATTCAAGCCAGGAAGCATTCATGTTAAGCTCAATAAATCCTGACCCAGAAGTATTCCTACATATATTACATAACACTCATAAGGGCAAATCAGTATGTAATCAAATCCTTACAAATGGGTACCTTCATCCCCGCTTTTTTCAACTCCCTTTTGTATACTGTCTTTCTCCATTAAAGCGTAAGCTCCTTAAGGGCAAGAACTCTTTCTTTCCTTGTATTTGTATCCCCAGGGCTTGGATTAGTGCTTGGCACATAAATAAGCACATCATAAATGCCTGTTTCCTTTCTTCGTTCTTTCCTTCCTATCTTTACTCCCTCCCTCCTTCCTTCACCAAAGCCTCACTCAATGTGGCAAGAACTCTGCCAGCAGAGCATGGGCTCTGGCAGGCTCTACCAAGCTGGAAAGGGTTCATGAATGTATGATGCTGGCTATAGACAGTGTCCGCTGCCAAGGCTCAGACTACTTAAGTACAGAAATGATTATTAGCAGATGGCTGGGACAAGATTCTAGTCAAATATAATGTTAACAACTTGTTATCAAAGTTTAAGGACACATCCCTCCCTTTCTGTTAACCATCAACAGTCTCTTTTCTTGGCACTTTTTAAAGGATTTGTCTGGCCATTTCTTGAGAAGTATCTGTTGTATTAAAATAAAATATATCAGTTTTTTAAATTAAAAAATACAGAAGATTGGGTATTAATGATTCTTTTTTTTTGCTATGACCAAAGAAGAAAGAGATAAAGACACAAAATGTCCCTCCCCCTAACATTAGAGTCGCCTTCAGCTTCCTCATTCAGAGTGATGAAACAAAAAGGGTAGTGGCTGTCAAAAATCACAGTTTTATTCCATCTATAAACATTACTCTGGCTGCTGGTATTCTAAATAAAAGGTTCCCATATGAGTAGATATACCTCTAGAGGGATTGTGTGTGTGTGTGTGTGTGTGTGTGTGTGTATGTACATATATATATAGATATACACACCCATATATACGTGTGTATATGTATACACACACACACACACATATACACACACATACACAACACAGAATAATTTTCATTACAAATAAAACCAGAAATCAGGATGGCTCACAAATTTTTCTCAGATAATTTAATTAAGTAGTTAAGAAATTAGTTCCATCATGTATCCAAAGGCAATAAGAAACATTTCATGGGATACTTGGTCATCTTGCTTTTACAGTGCTCAAAGCACAAGCAAGAGCATCACCATGAAAATAGTTGTAGCTTGAGCACCAAAATCTTTAGCAGTAGATGAACACATAGTAAAATTCTACAAATAACTTGGAAAGATCCTTTGTCAATATATATTTCAATACTAGGTGGTTTCCACGAAAGAAGAGCACCAAGAGGCCAGTGAAAAACACTGAAAAATGTGGTCAGAGATTAAAAAAACGAAAGAGTCCAAAAGATTGCTGACTATTCACTCAGAAATATCAGGCCTGGATATTACAAATACCTTCTTCAAAAAGAGCTTCAAAAAGAGTTGAACATAGCAAGCAAATATTACTACAAAGAAACTGACTATATTTTAATAAACAACAAAAGACTGGCTGCTGATGTAGCAGCAATTTCAGAATCAGCAATCTCTATGCAGTCAAATTATTGAAAGATTAGAGTAAAGCTCACATTAAACACAAAATACCAAATTTAAGAAATGTTAAAGATAAAAAGATGACACATGTTCAGTTACAACAGGTCCAACATACCCTATATAAATAAGCTGTTGATGCTGAAAAAAAGAAAAAAGTAAAAACATTAAGTCTTATTATTACCATTTCCTAGGTAACTATCACTGATCTAAAAGCAAATGCCACAGTGAGGTCAAAGGTACCCAGAAGTCACCTTATCCAACAAGCATTTGATCTTCTCAACAAATCTTAACAACATGGCAGTCAAGGGCAATCCTGATTTAGAGTAAAGGGTGATTTGTAAAACTTCTGAAGGAAGATCAAAAAAAAAAAGACTATAAGCATTGATGCATCACAAAAGAACAAAAACCAATGGAATGGAACAGAAAACTTAGCATGAGACCTTGAAACCCTCCAAAACTTTTTTACTCCATATGAAGCTGGAAAGTATTCGACAAGTAGATGTGAAATGAAACAGATATGTAAGGCTTTTTATTGCTATCTCTTTTTGTACTCAATGACAGCCAAACCTCCACATTTGAACTGCAATACAGGTATACCTCATTTTATTGTGCTTCACTTTATTGTGCTTCACAGACATTGCATTTTGTTTTGTTTTACGAACTACAGATTTGTGGCAGTCCTACATTGAGCAAGTCTATTGGCACCATTTTTCCAACAGCATATACTCACATGGTGTGTCTGTCACATTTTGGTAATTCTTGCAATATTTCAAACTCCTTCATTATTTTTACATCTACTATGGTGATCTGTGATCAGTGATCTTTTTTTTTTAAATCTTTTTTTTTTGGTTAGGCAATGGGGTTAAGTGACTTGCCCAAGGTCACACAGCTAGTAAGTGCTATGTGTCTGAAGCTGGATTTGAACTCAGGTCCTCCTGAATCCAAGGCCGATGCTCTATCCACTGCGCCACCTAGCTGCCCCCAATCAGCGATCTTTGATATTACTATTGTAATTGGGTTTTTTTGGGGGGGTACTATAAACTACACCCATATAAGACAGCAAATTTAACTGATAAATGATGTGTGCTCTGACTGCTCTATCAACCCTCCATTCCCCCATCTCTCTCTTTCTCCAGAGGCCTCCCTATTTTCTGAGATACAACAATATTGAAATTAGGCCAATTAATAATCCTACGATAGCCTCTAAGCATTCAAGTAAAAGATGAAGAGTCAACTGAGGCAGTAAACTTCATTGTCATATTTTAAGAAACTGCCACAGCTACCCCAATCTTCAGCAACCACTACCCTGATAAGTCAGCAGACATAAACACTGAGGTAAGACCCTCTATCAGCAAAAAGATTACAATTCACTGAAGGCTCAGATGATGGTTAGCATTTTTAGCAATAAAGTACTTTTTAATTAAGGTATATACAATGTTTTTTAGAGTTAATATTATTGCTCACTTAGTAGATTACAGCATAATGTAAACATAACTTATATGCACTAGCAAACCAAAATATTCATGTGACTCACTTTACTGCAGTGGTCTAGAAATGACCCTGCAATATCTCTGAAGTATTCTTGCATTTCAGTACTCTGTGTGTTACAGGATCCTAGAAAGATCTATGTTTTCATCAGGGTGGGAACTTCCTCCACCAATAAAGATTACAAGTCATCTATGACTTAGTAGGGCAAGTCTTAGGGAATCAATTTAGACAGAGTTAAATGAGTTGTCCAGGGTGAAAAAGCTAGTGTTACTTAATAGCACTTGAACCCAGATCTTCCTAACTCCCAAATCCAAAGATTTATTACCTTTCACTGCCCTACCTAATCTCCAGAATGAGCTTCATCCCATCTAACCATTCCATCAGACATCAAGGTTTCTTCCCTCTGCCACCTACCTCCTCTATTAGGAATAGCAACTCTGGATTTCTAGAGACCCTGTTCCCCATGCCTGAGGATGTTAATCTACTTATGTTTTGGGACTCATCCTAAGTTAGATCTGCCTTGGCTATTGACTGACAAGTAAGTCAAACCTCACTTCAACCAACATTCCTCACAGCAAAGCAACCCACCAGGACACCAGGGCCTACATAGTGTGTTCCTTGTTATTTTTCTTTTCCAGGGCCTTCATATCTCTTCTCATTTTCCACCTCTTTTTTAGAAATAATAATTAAATCAAGATTCCCATGGTTACTCAAAATAGTATGCCAGAATCCCTGGGATTCTGACTTACAGGCTGTCTAGAATAAAGCCTCCTTCCCCACACCCTCCACCATACATCTCAGACCTGTCTTTCCTGGGTCTCTATCCTTCTACTGTCGTGGTCTGTCCTTTCTAATCCATCCTCCACACAATTGCCAAAAAGATAGTCCTCACACACAGGCCTAGTAGCAACATCCAACTCAAAAAGTTCTAGCAGTTCCCCATCGCTTTAAGTACATAAACTACATACTCCTCTTTGTCACTGGTCAGAGCCTCTATCCAGGCTTATCATGTGCTATTTCCCCTTATGCTATTCCCTGTACACAACAGTTTATCTCCTCTTTGTGACTCTGTACACACTGGTCCCGTGCCTAGGACACACCCCTTCCTTTACCTCCACTTTGCACAGTCTTTAGCTCCCTTCCAGGCTCAGATCAAGCATCTCCTTCAAGAGGCTCTTCCTCAGTCTCCTGGTCACTGATTCCTATTTCCACCTTGAAATCACCTTGGGTGGTTTTTTTTCCCCCTTACATATATCCAATATTCAGTTGTCTATAAGTATGTTGTGTCCATCCAGAAGAATGCGAGCTCCTTGAAGGCAGGCACCATTTCACTTTTGTACCATGAGACTCAATTTCTGGCACATGTGGGCATTTAATAAATATTTTTAACTAATTGTCTCTGTTTCTTATGGTCAATT